TAAACAGGTGGGAGTTGTCTTACCAACTCTGAGAGGCCAATTAATTAAGAGAAAAAAAAATTAATTAATTGGCCTCTCAGAGTTGGTAAGACAACTCCCACCTGTTTATGCTCTCTGTATGTGTGTATATACATCTCCTCAATATATGTTCCATTCTATATGCATCCGAAGAAGTGGGCTGTAGTCCACGAAAGCTTATGCTCTAATAAATTTGTTAGTCTCTAAGGTGCCACAAGTACTCCTGTTCTTCTTTTTTTAGAGAATGGGTAGTGAGATCACAAAGGATGATAAGATTAATTACCGTTCAGCTAAAATAATAGCAGATACCTACTGAGCCTGCTCAGGAGTGACTCTTCCTCTCTGCCCCCCAATGATTTTAACTTTAGTTTGCCCTTTTCTTCCCCCATACCTAATAAAGTACACCGATTTTATTAAGGATATTATTCAGGCCAGGTTTCAAACTACTTCAGATGTTACTTTTCAATAAAAACATGATTGGAGAGGGGTTTTTTACTTTGAGGGGGAAAATGTTTCTCCCTCGCCTCTCCATTGCAGTACTTATAATTCAGAAAGGGTCAAAGGGATTCTGTTCAAATTTCATCATTGAGCAGAGACCAAACATGGAAAATTGAAGCCCAAAAAGAATACGTCTGGAAAGTTAGAAGTATGAAGAGAGGGGTGAATAACAACAGTTGCTGCCATAACTACAGTAATAACTATTCTCGTGCAGTACTTGGAATGTTCAGATATAACAACTGCAGATGGGCCATAGAGGTAGGAAGAGTATTGAAGACTCTAGTTTCAAAGGAAAATTTAATTCTAATTCCTTTAGAGGTGTTTGGATTTTTTTTAAAATGTAATTTGAAAACCACTGCTATGTTCTAACGCTGCAAAAAATGTATAATTGTTGAAGGCTAATGCTGTGCCATGAAATGAGCTTTGTTTAGAAGCTCACACACACTCTATTCATGAGGCCTTGTTACGTAATATGTATCTCTTGTACAGCATTGAACCATACTTATTTCACCTGCAAATAATTTAATAAAACTTATTTTCTATCAACAAAATAAATATAGTAATTCAAGGAGGCCAACAGCCGAGGAGAGGCCCATGTCTAAGAAATGGTCATTAATGACTTTGTAGAGAGAGGTTTTGCTGAAGTGTAAACGTAAAAGACAGATTACAATAATTCAAGAATAGAGTAAGGGCTTGTCTGCACTTAAAGCGCTATAATAGCACCAGGGTTGCCAGGTGTCTGGTTTTCGACTAGAACACCCGGTCAAAAAGGGACCCTGGTGGCGCTGACTGGTCTGTTAAGTCTGGTACAACGGGGGCCCGGAGCTAAGGCAGGCTCCCTGCCTGCCCTGGCTCCGTGTGGGTCCTGGAAGTGGCCGCCAGCTCCCTGCGGCCCCTGTGCACATGGATGGCCAGGGAGGTTCCACGCGCTGCCCCCGCTGCAAGTGCTGGTTCCGCAGCTCCCATTGGCCAGGAACAGCGACCAATGGGAGCTGTGGGGGTGGCACCTGCAGGCACGAGGACAGTGCGTGGAGCCTCCCTGGCTGCCCATACACCTAGGGACTGGACGTGCTGGCCGCTTCCTGGAAGCCGCAGTAAGTGCCGCCGGGACACTGCACCCCAAACCCCTCATCCCCAGACCCACCCCAGAGCCCACACCTCCAGCCGGAGCAGTCACCTCCCCAGCACGCCAACCCCCTGTCCCAGCCCGGAGCCCCCTCTTGCACCCCAAACCCCTCATCCCGGCCCCACCCCAGATCCTGCACCCCCAGCTGGAGCCCTCACCCCCTCCTGCACCCTGGTCCAGCCTGGAGCCCTCTCCTGCACCCTGAACCCTTCATTTCTGGCCCTATCCAGAGCCTGCCGCCTAGAGCCCACTACCCACCCCCCCCCGCCACCCTCTACCCCAGCCCGGAGCCCTCTCCCGCACCCCAAACCCTTCCATCCCTGGCCCCACCCCAGAGCCTGCACCCCCAGCTGGAGCCCTGCCACACCCCAGCCCCCTGCCACAGCCCAGTGTAAGTGAAAGAGGGTGGGGGAGAGTGAGCGACAGAGGGAGGCGGGATGAAGCAAGCAGGGGGCGGGGTCTCAGAAGGGGCAGGGCAGGGTGTGCGGTTTTCTGTGATTAGAAAGTTGGCAACCCTAAGTAGCACAGCTGCCCTGCTTCAGAATAAACACTACCTATGCTGATGGTAGAGGCTCTCCTGTTAGTGTAGGTAATCCATCTCCCT